ATTTCACTTAGCATAATTTTCTCCAGGTCCAGCCATACTGTCCCAAAGGGTACAAGAACCTTCTTCTTTACAGCTGCGTAGTATTCCATGGTGTAAATGTCCCACAGCTTTTTTACCCACTCATCTGCTAATGGGCACTTAGGCTGTTTCCAGATCTTAGCTATTGTAAACTGTGCTGCTATGAACATAAGGGTGCATACATTCTTTCTGATTAGTGTTTCAGGATTCTTAGGATATATTCCTAGAACTGGGATCAATGGGTCAAAAGGCAGCTCCATTTTTCATTTTTTGAGGAACCTCCATACTGCTTTCCATAGTGGCTGCACCAGTCTGCATTCCCACCAGCAGGGTGATAGGGTTCCCCCTTCTCCACATACTCGCCTGCACAAGTCGTTTGTTGATTTGTTGATTGCAGCCATTCTGACAGGTGTGAAGTGATACCTCATTGTGGTTTTAATTTGTGATTTTGTTTGCAATTTGACTTAAGAAATAAGGATCCTTTCTCTTAGTACATTGGGATCTTGTTGGCCAAATGGATCATTTCTACCCTTTACATAAAGAGTTTTTTTAATGGTAAAATTCCAACACAAAAAATTTTAGTTATCTATTTTGAAGGGGCTCTTGGCTTTTCTAATTACATAAATATATTTAGAATTGTACTTCTCACAATTTTCTTTTAGCTAGTTAAATTCTGTGCTATTTTTATTTTATTTTAATCTTATTTTAAATGTTTTTATTGAGTTTAGAGAGAGAGGAAGGGAGAGGGAGAGATAGAAACATTGGTGGGAGAGACTCAACATCAATTGGCTGCGTTCTACTGGGGATCTAGGCCTGCAACCAGGGCATGTGCCCTGACCAGGAATCATATTGGTGACCTCTTGGTGCCTGGGCTGATGATCATCTACTGAGCAACACTGGCTGGGCCTGTGCTATATTTTAAACCTGTCTTTTTTCAAAAACACCTTGTTTTTTATGCATTTCCTGACAAGAGCTGAATTAACATAGGTCACTGGGCTTCAACTCTGGTCTACTTAAAAACTTTCATTTTTTAAAATTGTAGCTTAAATGAAGAAACTTTTCATATACAGCATTACAGTGTATGTAATAACCAGAAATGCAAAGGATTGGAGGAACAATGTCAGTGTCCCAAATAAAAAATTACTGTTTGTAAAAAAAGTGCATTAACGCTTACTTGGGTGGGGGTTACTTAATTGACTGAAAATAGTCTGAATAACCATAACCCAATGAGAAGTGTGTTCCTCAAGTTGCAAAATGATATAATATCATTACATTTTTAAAATAATTTCAAAGTATATTAAACATCAGAGGAAACATGTGGCTTAAATTCATGCCTGCTCTGGTAGACATTTTTTACCATTGTAGATATATAGACTTTATTATATTTTCTCAAATTTCTTTGCCTTATCTTAGAAATGCAATCTTGTCAATATACAAAAATAAGTTCCTTGATTTGGTGGAAAAAGTGAAAAATATCATAATCCTTCCTAAAGCAGGTTGCAAACTTTCGATTTTTAATTATTATATCATCATAGTTCAGTCATAACTCTAAGGACCAGTTTGATGGCTACTCAGCAGTGACAGAATTTCTATCCTATTCCTTAAAAACAAATAAGAACAAAATCAGCAGATTTTTTCTGGAACTTCAAAATTTATAAGAAAAAAACAGAATTTTGCAATTAAATTCAAATCTCAAATATTGCCAACTACAGGGTAATTTAAAGGAAAGCAAACTCAGTATCCCACAGAATTCATATTAATAATAGGTTTGTCTTGAGGTTCCCATGTCAGTCTTTGAAATACAAAGCTAAATAGTTACAACTAATTTGTTTTAAAAGAAGTTTCCACTGGGGGGGTGAGCAGGAGCAGGGTGGAGGGGGTCAATATGGCAAAACGGGGGGACATCTGTAATACTTCTGACAAGAAAGATAATTTTTTTAAAAAGTATATCCAAAAATATCTTAATTATGAACAGATTTTTGGTTATTGGGTTTTGAAGGCTCTATCTTCAAAATCATTTTCTATTAATTAGAGAAATTGGGTAGAATTATTAAAATAGCACAGTTTTACTTAATAGTAAAGTGCAAATGTTAATTTCTTAGTTTTGACAAATGTATCAAGGTGTTGTCAGATGTTAACAATAGGGAAACTGGTTGAGGGAGGTACAGGAACTATAATATTTCATAATTTTTCTATGATTTTAAAATTATTTCAAAAATTTAAAAATATTCTAAAATTATTCTATGAATCTAAATTATTTAAAATGTACTGTTAGAGATTTAAATGTAAAATGCAAAGCTCTAAAGTTCCTAAGAGACAACACAGGAGAAAATTTGAATGGCCTTGGGTTGGGTGATGACTTTTTAAGTTTAATTTTTTTTTAATCTACTTATTTTTAACCTTCATGTGAAGATATGCTTCTTGATTTCAGAGAGAATGGGGGGATAGGGGAAGAGAGAGAGGGAGGGAGAGGGAGAAACAGAAGGAGAGAGAGAGAGAGACATCAATTGGTTGAGTGCACTGACCGGGGATTGAACCTGCAAACTTTTGGTATACAGGATGATGTTCCAACCAACTGAGGTACAGGGGCAATGAGTTTTTAGATAAAACACCAAAGGCACAATTCACAAAAGAAATTTCTGGTAAGCTGAACTTTATGAAAATTAAAAACTACTGCTCTGCAGAAGACAGTGTCAAAAGAATAAGACAAGTCACAGGCTGAGATAAAATAAATGCAAAAGACACATCTGATGAAGGAGTATTATCCAAAATATACAAAGAACTCAAAACAGATCCAGGACAGTCTCTGTCAAGAACTGTCCATTTGTCACCCCTGGAGGCAGAGCCCTAAGCTCTGAGGAGAGAGAGATCCATGGGGAGGGAAGTGGCCTCACAGTCCTGAGGCTGGGCAGGGTCTTTAGGAAATCTGGTGTGAGGGCCTCAAGAGGTCTTAGCTTAGTGGGGAGACTCACTCTCTGGTTTCAGGAAGTCTCAAACCTTGCCCTCAGGTAGCCAAAGTCTGGGTGAGGGGCTCCAGTGGAGAGGTAGACCCAGGTCCCTCACTTGGGCATTTTCCAACTTCAAAGACCAAATGCACCCAATGCACACTCACTGGTACCCTGTGCATTGCCAAGATTTCACACATTTGACCAGCACTTTAGCCCCCAAAGTCACTGTGACTTTTGTAACTAAAATCCTAATTTCACCATTTCCTCCCAGGTGCTTGAATCTGTGTCACCTGGGGCTATGTATGTGGATAATGTCTGGTTCTGTGGCACATAAGCTTTTGGGGTAACGCCTGGTTTTCTGTGATGCCTGGGTTGGTATAACAACCTATTCCTTGTACTGTTCAGCCCTGTAATGCTGGGAGCAGCGATGCCCGGCTCTGTGCAATGAGCCAGAATGTGGAATGCTTGGGTCTAAACAAACTGGGCCTGTGCATATCAGGTCTTCTCTGATTTTATGCCCAGGATTGGTTATCTCTCTGGGATGGGAGGGAGTTTCCAGATCTCCTCCCAGCCCATTCTGTTGCTTTCATCTTTCTTACCTGGCTGGGACATGCTGCTCCAGAGGCAAGAAACAGGGAGCCATCAGCAGTAGCTTCCCAGACGCTGTGTCCAGGGATGTGCTGGGAGCCTGTGAGAACCTGATGGGACAGGGAACACAACTAAATGAGGTCCCTGAGCAGCTTCCAGCAGCAGGCTTTGAGGCTATCTTATGTGAAAGAAGAGGGAAGTTCAGAAGTTCTAATTCCCATTTTATTCTACTATTTGTTGATACTTTTAAATGTTTAACAAATATCTGAGCCTGTATTTATGAATGCCAAGAATTTCAAAGTCTCCAACAAGATGAGGCTGTCTGTACGTTTATATTCCTTCTCCTTCCTTCCCATTTCTCAGGTATGGAAAAATAATCTGGAATTATAGATACAGCTTGTTAATAAATTTGTTCCTGCACACAAAAAGTAAAAAAAAACAAACAACTTGATTAAAAGATGAGCCAAAGACCTTAACTGACACCTGCTGAAAGAAGATATACAGTTGGAAAATAACCATATGAAAAGACACTTCATATCATATGTCATCAAGTAAGTGAAAATTAAAACAGCCCAGCTGGGCATGGCTCAGTGGTTGAGAATCGACCTAGGATCCAGGCGATCAGGGTTTGACTCCCGGTCAGGGCACGTGCCCGGGTTGTGGGCTCGTTCCCCTGTCCNAAAAGACACTTCATATCATATGTCATCAAGTAAGTGAAAATTAAAACAGCCCAGCTGGGCATGGCTCAGTGGTTGAGAATCGACCTAGGATCCAGGCGATCAGGGTTTGACTCCCGGTCAGGGCACGTGCCCGGGTTGTGGGCTCGTTCCCCTGTCCGGGGCATGCAGGAGGCAGCCGATCAATGACCCTCTCATCATTGATGTTTCTATCTCTCTCTCTCCCTCTCCTTTCCTCTCTCTGAAGTCAATAAAGATATATTTTTTTAAAAAATTTAAAACACGGAGATAGAACTACACCCCTGCTGGAATGGTTAAAATCTGGAGCACAGACAACACCAAATGCTGATGAGGATGTAGAGCAATACAAATTCTTATTCATTTCTGGTAGTAATGCCAAATGGTACAGCCACTTTGGAGATGGTTTGGTGGTATTTACAAAACTAAAAATACTCTTGCGATACAGCCCAGCCATCTTTCTCCCTGATATTTACTCAAAAGAGTTAAAAACCTATGTCCACATGAAAACCTGTACATAGGTGTTTATAAAATCTTTACTCATTGTTGCCAAAACTTGGAAAAAACAAGATATCCTGCAGTAGACGAATGGAAAAATAAACCGTGGTACATGCAGACAATGAAATATCCAGCCTTAAAAAGAAATAAGCCATCAAGTCATGAAAAAACATGGAGGGAACTTAAATGTGCATTACTAAATGAAAGAAGCCCATCTAAAAAGGCTACATACAGTATGATTTAAAATATAGCATTCTACCTAGGAATAAACATAACCAAGCATGTAAAAGACCTGTACTCGGAAAACTATGTGACACTGAAAAAATAAATATAGGAAGATTTAAACAAGTGGAAGAATATACCATGCTTATGGATTGGAAGAATTAATGTCATTAAAATGTCCATACTACCCAAAGCAATTTATAAATTCAATGCAATTCTTATTAAAATACCAATAGCATATTTTACAGACCTAGAAAAACATTTCAAAAATTTATATGAAACCAAAAAAGACCCCAAATAGCTGCAGGGACCTTGAGAAAAAAACAACAACAAAGTGGGAGGGATCACATTAACAGACTTCAAACTGTATTACAAAGCCACTGTGATCAAAATGGCCTGGAATTGGTACAACAGGCATATAGATCAATGGCACAGAACAGAGACCCCAGAAATAGACCCACACCATTATGGTCAGTTAATATTTGACAAAGGAGGCAAGAGTATCCAATGGAGTAAAGACAGTCTCTTTAATAAGTGGTGCTGGGAAAATTGGACAGATACATGCAAAAGAATGAAACTAGACCACCAACTTTCACCATACATAAAAATAAACTCAAAATGTATAAAAGACTTAAATGTAAGTCATGAAACCATAAAAATCTTGGAAGAAAACATAGGCAGTAAAGTCACAGACATCCCACGTAGTGGACTTTTCACTGATACATCT